AAAAAAAAAAAAAGAAGAAGAAAACTAAAATAAATGAAAAGGGCTGGGCACATAGCCCAGTGTGAAGGCCCTGGGTTCAATCTCCAGATACACACACACACACACACACACACACACACCAGTCCAGGTCACAGGCATGTGAATAAAGAAGCTACACTGATGGGCATGGTAGTGCTGCCTGTCATTCCAGCAGGCTGAGGCAGGAAGACTGCAAATTCAAGTTCAGTTTTGGCAACTCAGAGACTTAAGAGAGACCTTCTCTCAAAATAATCAACACAGTTATACCTTGGAAACTTCTTTGACACTGGCACTCTGTACACTGTGGTGTGAAAACTGTCCTAGCATTCATCCTTTGGTACTTGGCACGGAAGCTGGAACTCAGTGACTCAATACTGGAAAAAGAGAGGAGGAGTCAGAGGGGAGGGTGGGAGAAGCGGGAGGGCGGGATACCAAGCCGGAGTCTGACCCTCCCAGCCAATTACAGCTTTCCTTGGCTTTTCTAAATTCCACAGAATCAATGGGCATTGAACAAAAAAGTCCAGGACAGGGGAGGCTCAGTGGTAAAGCGCGCTCTTAGCATGTGCAAGACTCTGAGTTCAGTCTCCACGGTAAAAAGTATCATTGCTGTTTTATGCCACTGAATTTGGGGATTGTTCTTGGTTTTGGTGGTACTAGGGATTGAGCCCAGGGCCTTCACACTAAGCTACCTCCTCGGCTTTTTTCTGGGTTTTTTAATTGTTTAAATTTTAAGGCAGGGTATTCAATAAATTGCTAATCAGGCTAGGTTAGGAATTGCTGCCCTCCACAACAAATACGTAATGGACAGTGACAAAGAAATGACTAAATGAGTTCACAGAAAGGGAATCCTTGGCACAGTTAATGCTTCATAAACACTAGTTTGTGTTAGTACTATTGAGCAAAACAAAATAAAAGGCTGGAAAGTAGGACTGGATTGCACAGAGGTTTCTAAATCACTTCAGTATCAAAGAAAACCATCCACATTTCTGAGACCTTGCTGCGCCTTACCTTACAGGTTGGTGTGAGAGTTAAACCGTGCAATGAACACAAGCACCCAGCTCAGGGATTTGGGAGAATCTAAGACCTACAGGATTCATTCTCCAGACTCCCTTGGTCAGGTGGAGGCTAGACTAGGCGGGCCTGCTAACCTTCTGGTCACTGCCCCTCACAACTCTGCACACTGAGTACTTTTTGACTTGCCAAGCGCCTTTGTATGTGGGACCTCATAGGACCAGAACATCCAGCTTTCAGGGTGAGGCTGGGGCCTACATAGGGCAAGGTCAGGGCTCATTCCGCCATGTAGGCAGCAGGCTGGGGCTCACAAGATAAGCTTGGACTTGCTGCCATCAGACAATATCCGAGACCTGAGACTCAGTAGGAAGCACGTGTGTTTCTTCCTGTGTGTCTTCTGCCTGCCCCCTTTACAGGGGCACTCGGGTGCTTCTCTTCGTATTTCCCAAACTGTGGCCTGGCTAGGCTCTCTCCTTCCCGCACTGTTCCTCCTCTCCCATTGCGGCTGCTCACCTGGCTGCCGTCCTTGGCTGACACATCAGCCATGTTGTTTCTCCGGGCCTGGTGCATGGTCAGCGCAGCCCGAGTGGCCCCGCCAGCCACACTCACGATGCACTGGAGGGAGAAAGGGATGAGTGAAGGTCAGAGCAGCCGTGTGCTGTATTGCCAAATACCAAGTCCCAAGTGACCCCACAGTGCAATGCTGCATGCTGTCTTGGGTGTCTAGTTCTTGCCTTGCACCTCCCTAGGTTCTTTTAGGAAAGAATGTATCTCCTTGTGAACCTGGCACCAAGGAAACTAAATTTGCTTCCCCAAGGTGAAAGTCCAAAGATCATTCTTTTTTTAATTTTTTGAGACAGGGTTTTACTATATATTCCAGGGTGGCCCTGGACACAGTATGTAGCCCAGGCTGGCCTCGAACTCATGGTGAACCTCCTGCCTCAGCCTCCCAAGTGCAGGGACTACAGGTGAGTACCACCATGCCCAGCTCAAAGATCTTTCTTAACCCGGAACTTCTCCACCCTCCAACTCTTCCTTTGGCTACATCCTCTCCCTTGCTAAACAACCAGGCCTAGTCTGGCTTCCAAATTTGTTTACATTCTGTTTGCTTGTAATTTTGCTACCCTTCCTGCCTCCGTGAAGCTCTATTCAGCCTTTCAGGCTAATTCCAAACCCACACCAGCGACCCAGACCTCCTATGGTACCTGGATTTCTTCTGAAATCTCAGGATGGCAAGGCTCACTGGTGAGGTCACTGCTTCCCCTCATCTGGCTGGTACGGCTGGAGAAGTTCATGGCCTGTTCCCCCCCCCCCCCACGCATTTGACAGGTGAAGAGACTGGAGGCCCAAAAGTAGAGCAAGGGAAGAATCATGCCAGAAATCACAATCTTTGGTCCCCAGCTATAGCAGTGGTCTTCTCTGGGATTTCTTGCCCTGAAGATAAAAATGGGGCTGGAGGAAGAGGGGCTCATCAAATTTAGTGCCTCTACCAGCAAAACCATGTATCCTTCACCATAAAGAACAGCTGCACCCCAGACACCAATCGCACTTGTGGAGAAACACTGCTTTCAAGAGATTCTGAACAGAGTGGGCCTTTGAGATAGGTCTGGCATAAACCCCTGAGGCTTTACTCTGTGCCAGGTATTTGACACTTTGGTGAGGATAGGCTAGATTCTTAGCTGAACCCTGCTAGGCCTCAGTTTCTGCAACTGGATGAAGCTACTCTGCAGGAGCTGCCAGAGAGCACCTGACACAGACGGGTTTGCCTTCACCTCGCCAGTTCTTCTTGCCTCACTGGCAGATCTGTTTTCTCACCGCTGGGCCTTGGTCTTCACTGTTTCTTCCATCCAGACCATCCACTCTGTACCTTCAACTCCATTTTCAGAACTTGTAACTATTATTCCATTAAT